CACAGTTTTTGCCCTCCCACCTGATCATATCTTCACTTTTTGTCCCACCACAGTGCGATAACTTTCAACTCTGCAAGGAGGAGGAGCTCATGCTTGTCAAGCAGAACCTCAACATCTTCCAGCCATCACTGAATCAGTGTCTGAGCAAGCCCTTCCAAGTGGTGAGTGACTAGAGCAATGAATCTCAATTGGGGTGCCTGGAGATCCTTTCAGGGGTGCCATACAATGTCAGCACTGTTAGTAGTGCAAACATGATTCACAAGAGAAATCCAATGTTAAAGTAAGAATTCAGAGTGTTAAAACCATTCGGCCCTACTGTGGTCCTTCTGAGTTCTTTGCAACAAAAGAATTGCTCTATTATTTTTCCATAGGCAAAAAATGAGTGAAAGCTAAGAACTGGTATTTTCCAAGGGGTGCCTCAAGTCTGTGGAAGGGGGTTGAGTCAAACATGGGATGCCTTGAGTCTAAAAATATTGAGAACCACTGGACTAGAGCCACCCTGGTGCAGGGATGGGAGCAATCCCAGGATTATGTCCTAAGGGCCTGATCCGTCTCTCAGTGAAAGGGGCAGGATCTCAGCCCCTACTGACTTCAATGTGTTGCAAGTCCAAGATTAGCTCCTGCACACTCCATTCCAGGGCTCAAATGCAATGAACTCTCAGCATTGGCTCAACCCTGGTTTCTGCAGAAGGGCCCAACTCTGGTTTCTACAGAAAGCCCTTTTGCTTTGTTGGGTGTCTGACAGCACAGAACCCAAATGCCTCTTGAGTACCAGTTGCCAGAATCGTTGCTAACTACTGCTTCCAGCTCAGCCAGGGCCACTGGGGGAGGGTTTCACTTTTGAAGCAATCCCTAAAAATCCCAGCCAAAAATAGCTGGACGGGGGCAGGCTGCTAGAAGAAGGGAAATAATGTTCCTCAAAGCACAAAATGGTGTTGTAATATGACTCAACACTTCCTTGGTCTTGGCAATACCCAGCACCCACAGAAGTGGGGAAGCAGTTCCATGTGGGAGGGAGAGATCCATGGCAGGGCTGTTCACATTTTCCAGCCCTCCTCTAAGCACCTGTGGACTGCAAGTGAGAGGCATTCTCAAGAAAACCACAAGAAAACAGCAGGGAAGCACCCTGAGTTCCTCACTGCACTGAGCTAAAGGAACACAGGGGCTGGGGGGAGCAGGCACAGGCCTGTTTAAAGGCACTGTCACCAAACCCCAACCAGACCACAGCAGCTTACAGTCCACCCCTTCAGTGCTGGATGCAGTGCTGGGTGGTCATTCACTGCACTCACCACAATAAGATGCTCAGAAACCTTGATGCCATCCAGGTCCCTGCAGAATTTAAAGAGTTAATGGTCTTCCCCATAGGACGTCTGCTTCAGCCAAATACGGGAGGGACTCCAGACCTACCATGGCTACCTCTTCACCATTGCCCAGCTCCTGCCCAGTCACTCCACCCAAGTGGAAGGGCTTCAACTGGATACCTCCAATCTCTCCACCAATATCCAACAGCAGGTGAGTAGCTCTACTTGCTCTCCTACTAAGTAAAGAGTTGCCACCATGGTGCCCTGCACATGTACGGAGCAGCCCAGGTAGGCACGGCCCTACAGCAGGTGCAAACCCAACACTACTGGCCATAACTCTGCAGGTATGTACCAATGATAGAGGCAGCCTGTGTGTCACATGGGGACTAAACCTGCCTGTGCTCAAGTCAGGCCTGGAGCCATTAGCTCACCCTGCCAGCAGCCCTGCTGTCAGCTTCTGTTTCCCAAATCTGTAAGAGGCCCATCCCAAGTCACTGGAAGTCTACTGGCTTCAATGCATCTTGAACCAAGCGCCGACTTCTCCTAGCATGCCAGAAGCTGTCTCTGGTGGGCTAGGACCTCTCGTACTGACGCTGCTCCTGTCTTACCCACAGATAGAGGCTCTTGGGCTGAACATGGGGATGGTGACATACCCCAAGGAGGAAGGCCAAGGCACCCTCCTCACCTTCTCATCCCAGTTCTACCAGCAAGCCGGAGGATACATCATCCTTGCCAACTTCCAGCTCTTCCTGGACCTTGCCTACCGGGTGCTGCGTCACCTCATCATGCCATAACGGGGCACAGGGCACTCCACTCATGGGGAGGCACTGCTCTCATTGGCATCACAGCACCCTCCCCAAGGAGTAGCTGCAGATTCTGAAATCTAAAGGGCACATTTACAAATAGAACGTTCCTAATACAGGAGCTGGGTGGACTGGGGAAGCATTTAGGGCACTCTCTATTCTCAGGAAGATTCTCTAGTCCTTCAACATCAAAACTTTCTTTCCACCTCAAACTGTCATAGCGACAACATAGCCTTTTCCTTGTTTATGGCTGGATGGGCTTGCCACCCTTGTTTGAACAAGGACAAAACCCAGTGCCTGCCTCTATGCTCCTACCCTGGTTACTATTTCTGAGGCATGTATGGTCCTACTTAACCCTTATTTATTTCTCATTCCCAAGCCATACTGGTGCCTCCTGGCACACAGTCCCAATACTAACCCACGCTGGATCCAGCTACCCAGCATATTTAATATTTATCATTATTTAATATTTATGCAGCTTTTAGAACTCAGACGTGATGCATTTAAATCTGGAGGCTATTTTTAAGGTTAAAAAAAAATCATTATGAGTCTTGGGTGTTGGCACCAGACATGTTGCAGCATCAGGAAGCCTAGATACAAGGCAAACAGCTGCACTTGGGCTGCAATTCCTGCATATTTTTATATGTGCACAATGTAGGTACTGTTTAATATTTAAACAAGTGAGTATCCCCATAATGAGGTTTTTGTTGTCTGGGAGCTGGACCAAGCACAGAACTGGGAGTCAGGGGCTCCTAAACTTTCGGGCCAGCTAGGCACAGGCTCCCTGCATGACTGTAGGCCACAAATTGTACTGCAGTTTCCCCATCTGTAAAATGGGGGTGCTACTGTTTACCTGCTTTGCCAATATGTTGCGAGGCTTACATAGTTAATGTCTGAAAAAGGGGCAATATGAAGAGTGAGAAGGTAGGATGAGAAAGGGATGGGGGGGGGGGGGGGGCTCTTTAGTGAGATCTCAGCCCCAGGGAAGGGCAGGCTCTGCACTCTGCCGAGACTCTCACTGACCTCCCCAGATCTGAGATCTACCCAGCCCCCCTCTGCAAGCTCAACCACTTTCCTCCTTGAACTGCTTCTGTCCTTGCCACAACACAAACCAACATTTTAGCACAATGCTGTAAAAGAAGCTGGAACAAGTGCAGAATGGAGCTGCGGGGTTTGGAGTTTACGTCCCAACTCTGCCATGGATGAGCTGCATGCACTTCAGCATGTCACAGGAACATGGGAGTGGAAGGAAATCATCCAGGTGACTGAGTTCAGATCCCTCTTTGTGCCTTACTTTAATATGGGGAGAATTTCCTTCCTCCGTGGTTGAAGGCAGTTTAAAAAGGATATTTCCCTTTGTTGGTTGTGGTTGGAGCAGGGACAGAATCAGTCAATGTTGTTTTTATTACGAGTACATTTACTCAAGCTGCAATTATTAGTTAAAAGGCTTGCCAAGAGATGAGACTGTAACAGGCACCTTAATTGTGGTGCATGTGTAATTTCACCATTAAAACTAGGCAGCCTTTTGTAAGTTATTCGTTTTTGGTTTGTTTGTTTTTACAAGTGTACAATCCAATATTCTTTATAACTCTCACAAACTATTTATTGTTTCCTTTCACTATAAACTAATTAGTTTATTTATTATAATTTATTTACATGAGTCTTTATTCCTGTTGCATACCACCATCCCTTTCCGTTGGGTTAATCCAGAATTCCACTAGATTGGAACGACTCCTAAACTCTATTCACATCCAAACTAGAGTCATTCAGATTGGACTGTGCTGGAGAGGTTTATGTTGCTTGAATGTTTTCAATGTGTTACTGCCTCACAGGTAGTATCCACAAGCATGTGGATACACGTGGGAGTATACTGGATTGTACTACTCTCCAAACCATCAGTGCACCCAGATGAAGGCGGAACACTCCTGAATGTTTGCAGTTTTGTTTAAAAGCATAGTTTTCACTGACAAATTAAAAAAAAAAAAAAATCAGAATTTTAAATTTAGCCAAATGACAGGTGGAATGTATTATTTTGTAACTGTCTGTTTATATAATATATATTTGACATTTTTCTATTTATTGTTATGCACAGACCAAATCCACTGTATTTTTTTATTTAAAAGAACTAAGGAAATAAAGATATTTTTGTTGCTTTCAATAACATTAATGTTTGTTTGCATTTATCAGTCCCTTGAGAGACCAAGCTCTACCCATTTAAGCAGAACTAAACTAATGTACTTTATTTAGGATCCTAGCAGAGAGAGACCTGATCAGTTGGTCACTTGCTGTAGAACTCTATATGTTCACGCTAACAGATAATTCCTTAACATGTTGTCAAATCAAATACCTGCAGCCTGGGAGACAACCAATTAGTAGAGAATGAATCTGTTACTAAGCAGAAACTGCACTTCAGCTTAGCCAAAGCAAAAGATGCAAGGTTGTTTTCAAGGTTCAAAGCTGGTTACCTTCCCAGTCTATTAGCACTAAACTGGGCTTTTCAAAGGAAACAAAAAGAGTTGGGTGCCAGCCTCCATAGGGATTTTGCATAGAATATCTGCACCTCTTGGGAAAAATCCTAGTGAACTCCAGACCTAAAGCCTGGATAAAAATGAAGCATTCTGTTCTTAGGCTCCAATTTTGGCTACAGGCAAATACAAAATACATCTTCGTAGCTCCACGCCACATCCATTAAGGAATGTAGCAAGATGCTAGGTCTAATGATTCAGAATTTCCTCTGCCCTGCTCAGAAGCAGAAAGGGGGGAAAAAGCCATTGATCGATCAAGAAGAACTTAAAAAGGGGCAAGCCTACACGTCATCCTACGGCAATCTAGCAATGTGCTACATCACTGTACGGTGGCACACTACAGCGATGCAGCAATCACGCGGGTCTACACGTGATTGCCTGCTACATCACTGTAGCAGCGCACTCCCTACTTATAGCATGCCGCTATGGTGACATAGTGGGGAAATCTAAGCGTGTGCTGCCTTGTACTGCACCATGCTTTAGTACTTCCGAAAGGACTCTGAAAGGAAGTACTAAAGCACTGCACTGTAGCAACATCATAGTATGGCAACATGTAGACATGCCCAAGGATAATTTTCTTCCCCACGTTTTTTCTGATACCTGGAGTTCTTGTCAGCTTCCTAAGCATGCAAACCCTTGCTTCTGAGGCTTTTGCTCAAATAAAAGGGTTGTCTAGGAAGCAAGTGCTCATGCAACTCAGCTGCTGGGAAGACACTGTTATGAAGATGTTAACAAAGCAAATAAAACTCAGCCAGTTCTGGGGTGGAGGGAGCCAGGTGTACAGCAACTGCTATATAACAGGGTGGGAAAGGGAGCCAAGAACAATGTGGTGAACCATGGGATCAGAGAATATCTAATGCCCATCAAGAACAGAGAGGAGGATGGTCTAATCTTTGGCCCCAAATACATCATCTACAGCAAGTCAGCCACATTTTTTCAGTAGTGGGCCAAAAAGACCTAGCTTAGGTCTGTGACAGGTTGCCATTGGTGTTTATCCCTGCCACCTGGCCATGGCATGGTATGGGCAAAGCTCCCTGTTGTCTGGCTATAACACAGTGCAAGCAAATCTCTCCACCTCCAGGCTGGATGCTATGACTCAATGGGCTGGATCTGGGCCACAGGTTGCCAATCCAGTGTTGAAGGCGATATAAATCTTTGTTGTTATAGTCTACAGCTCGCCCAATAAATGAAAAAAATAGTGCATAGCAGAGAGTCAATCTACTCTTACAGGGTGACTGAATCCCCTGGTTAAATGGACATGATCCAACAAAATATGTTTTTAATGAATCCAAGCCAAGGCAAGAGCTGCTGCAAACCAAGGCCCCACCTACCAGATAGGAGGTGCTGCCTTAGAAAGTAAGAACTCAGAAGAAGGGCCTAGGCATCATCATAGATCATCACCTCAACACAAACTCTCAAAACAGTGCTACAGCCAATGTGATACTTGGGTACATAAAAAGGGAAGCATCATGTAGAAGATGGGAAGTGATTCTCCCTCCCTGCATAAGGGAGGATGCTTGTGCCCCCTTTCAGTGTCCACAGGATGCTGTGACATCCATACTAGGATGCTGTGCCCCCTTTCAGTGTCAACAGGTCAAGAAGGAGATTCAGATACTGGAACAAATTGCAAGGAAGGTCACAAAAATGACTTCACAATGTGAGGCTTAAGGTATGAAACTTATTCATCTTATTGAAGGGAAAGCTGAGGGGTGACTGACTCTCTGTGCACAGCCCCTTCCACATGGAGAAAGGATCTGAGTGGTGACTTTTCAATGTTGCTGACATGATATAAAACACATGCTACCAGTGGCTGGAATTTAAACTTAGGCAAAGCCAATCTTGAAATATGATGCAGTTTCCTAGCTGAGAGGGTTATTAAATCCTAGAACAGCTTCCTAGGGAAGATGGTGGCACTTCTCATCACCTGGAGTCTTTAAATGAAATGAGATCTCTCTTTAAGAGATACTGGGAGAAATTCTTCAGCTGGTGGGGGAATGCAGGTGTAGGCTACAAGGTCCTTCCTGTCCCTAGAGTCTCTAAATCAGAGTGAAATGCTTTGATCTAAGGCAGTTCGTTCAGGCTGATGCAAGGCCCTTAACTGAGAGTTACAACTAGTGGTATGCAGGAAGCCAGATAAAAAGATCTGCTGTTCCCTCCTGCCTTTGCACTTATGAAAGTCATGGATAAGAAAAAGTAGGAGGCTTGGTCTTGAGCTAGTTCTCCTAGGCATCCAGCCACATCCTAGCTCCATAACCACTCCCCCACCTCCGTTTCCCTTGTCTAAAGCTGTGTGGGGGAAAGAGGGGCTCAATTCCTGTAAAAGCTAGTAGGAACAAAGGGTGTTTAGCTCTTCTCTCCCTGAACAGCCATCGTCAGCTCAGGGCTTTCAGACCTGCAAACCCCACTGCAATCACTCAGGGTTATTGACTCTATCAAAGACTTTAAGTTCATTGCCCTACTTCAGAATATCCCCTATGGGGACTGCCCCAATGCTGGCTAAACCTAAATTTTATATTACTATTACTGTCTAGGAGCTCATCATCACAGTCCAGACCCTATGGCATTAGACACTGTACAAGCAGAACAAAGAGTTTGGTCCAGACCCTATGGTATTAGTTATTGTACAAACAGAACAAAGAGTGCTGTCCAAAAGATAACAGATTGGCTCAGATGGGGGCATACATAGAAACAGTGAGCCAGTCCTGGTCTGGGGCTGGGCAGGGGTCACTCAAGGACCAACAGTTTTGTAGGCATCTCAGCAAAGGTGCATTTCCAGGAGGGTTTTGGAAGAGAAGGATCAGACAGTTTATGGAAGTTTACAGGGATCAAGAGATGCTGGTGGGGTGGGGACAAGCTGGAAAGAGCCTTGAAAATGAAGGCAAGGAGATTATGCTGGATGCTATAGGGAAGGGAAAGCCCACGGAAGGAGGCAAAGAGCAGGATGAGCTGGGTAAAGCAACAAGCTAGTAAAATCTTAGCAGCGACACTGGCAAGACACTGGACCAGGCCAGAGGAAAGGACATTGCAGTAATGAAGTCAGATGATCCGACTTCAGCAGAGAGTTGTAGTTGTCACATGACTGCTTTCCTAACAGAGAGGCTCCCAGGGCTGCCAGCTAAATCCCCAGAGACACAAGACTTCCTATCACCTCTTGCTTTCCCTGAGTAGATGGGGGTGGGGAGGAAACCAACTGGCAACTCACGAGCTGCAGTGAGCTGGTAGCATGGGACTCTTTCCAACTTGTCCTGTTCCAACCCAAGCTCCATGAGAGTGAAGCAAGAACAGGAACCCTGCCCACTCTGCCAGGGCTAATTTCTGACTCAACTTCCCATGCCCCTGGGATAGTGTAGTGAAGTGCTACACCACCTATTAGCATTACATTCAGTCAATCAAACAGAAGGAGATCTGAATTTGGACCTAGCAAAAGATTTAAGATGCTGAACAGGAAGCAGGTCTGCGTGTCCAACAGGGTCTGGTTCCCCCAGCCAAATGCAGGCACTCAATGCAGACAACATGAGTGACCTTGTGCTCTACTCTTCCTACATCCCGACAACAAGGAGGCGATACCCAAAACAGTTGCTTGCTAAGGACCAAAGCAAGCCCCTGTAACAGGTTAAATCCTGCACTGAGGTATCTGGAATTAAAACAGGACTCTTATGCATTCGCCTTGTTTAGAATGACAGCTCTTCTGCAGCCTCACTCAGAGACCACATATGGAATCAGCATCTCCAAACCCAACATTCAGCCCCTGCCTGAGTCATGGCTCAGGCATCATGAGTAGGCCCTGATTTAAATCACAGACCCAGCTCATGGCTTAGCAGCTCCTTCTATTTGGATGTTCTCCTCACGCACCCCCCACCCCCACTGTTGATTAGCAGAGGGCCCCATCAGCTCAGCAGCTTGCTCCTGATGGCCAGGAGGTGAAAACCACAGTTTTAAATAAGGCTCGGTTTTTGCCTCCCATCCAGTCAGCAGCAAGCAACACGAGCTGGGCCGTGATTTAAACCAGGCCCTAATTACAAGATTCTTTTTGAAAATGAAATAAATCATGGTTTCTTCTGGATTTGACATCTGATTTTGACCCTTCAGCCCGCCCGCAGGATGCAGTTTCAAGCCTCTCTCCCCATCCTGAAAGGGCCCCAGGTTCCGGTCTGGGGTGGCTGCTTCATTTTATGTTTTTTAAATGAGACAGGATTCTTCCAATGTTCATTTGCAGCTGGAACTGAGCCTTTAAGAAAAGCAGCAAAATCTTAAGGACTCCTACCATGGCAGTTGAACCCTCAACCCCTCTATGACCACTTTCCTCCTGGGGTATTCCAGTGTTTTCATGCATGCAGAGTCAGGATTGTTAAGCCCATTTTTACAGATGGGGAAACTGAGGCACATGACTGCAATGAGTATTTTAACCTGTGGGCTCTTCAAGGCAAGCCCTACCCATGCTTTCATCTCATAACCCAGTGGTTCTCAACCTTTCAAGATTCCAAGTGTTCCTTGGAAAATGCCAGCTCTTTTTATTCATTTTTGACTACAGAAAAAGAAATAGAGTGATTTTATGTTGCAAAGAACTCAGAAGGAACACATAAGGTCAGAATGGTTTTGACATTATGGATTTCTATTAGAAATCTCTGGATTAATCTTGGGAACGATGGTGGCACACCTAACAGTGCTAACCTTGCATGGCACCCTGTGGCACCCTTGAAAGTATTTCAAGGCACCCCAGACCAACCAATGGAACTCATTGCTGCCAATGCCTGACACAACTGACAGCTCCTTAGGTTCCCCACTCTAGGTTTGGGATCTGATGCTTTTGGAAAAGACACTCCAGCAGCATCTCCACCACAACTGATCCTGGCTTCAAAGGACAACTAGCGAACAAGGCTAGGGCAGTAAAGAGGCTCACCCCTCCACGGGCTGGAAAAGTTAGCAGATGCAACAACACCAAGCAGAAGCTGATGGCAACCAGATGACAGACGGAAGAGCTGGAAGATGCCTGGAACAGTATGCAAGCCTAAATCCCACTCAGAATTTCAAGAGAAGCTTGCCTTGACGTATATTCAACAAAAGGAAAGAAGTCCCCCCCGACCCCAGGAAGCCAGAGAGCTTTCCCATATTGCTAAATCCTTGCATAAAACTTCCTGTCCACTGGCTTCATAGAAAGAGGTGGTGGGGGGACCTCCCCTGTCATTTATCTCTGGAATTATTCAACAACTCTCAGCTGAGTCAAGAGCTCAGCTAAGCCCAGCCCCAACTGATTTCTAAACAAACTGAACACAGATCCCACTCACAATCTCTATTTCACTGCCCCGAGGCCCAACTGTGGACATAGGCCCAGGGATTGCCTGTGT